TGAGGAGTGGCTACCCCACACAGGTGTTGAGGCCCAAGTGGGACGGGGGACGTCCACACTTGAGGGGGAGGGGGACTTGGCAGAGAGAGTCAGAGCTTAAGCAAGGTAAAGACAGCATCTCCAGGACAAGATCCCGGAGTGGGCTGAGGAGGGACTCCCCGCAGGGGAAGACTCACAAGGGGTGCCAGAGCCAGGTGAATGGAGGAAGGACTCACGTAGGGGAAGGTCTGATGTAGGGTGTCAGATCCTGAGTGGGGTGAGGCAAGTGTCTAAACAGGGAGGTGGACAGTGAGGGTGTGGAGCTCATCAGGGTGAGGAGGGTGTTGCCTAGTTTGGGATAAAGCCATTGAACCAGGTGAGAACTTCCAAGAGTGTTCACATAGACAGGTGGCAGTCTGAGCAGGGTGAGGAGGGGTGGCCTGGTGGGTGGTGTTAAAGTCTGTGCAGGATAAACAGAGCTTCTGTCTCAGGGGAAAGCCTGGTGTGGGGTGAGAAGGATGTCCATGCAGGCGAAGGCCTACTGTGAGGCAACAGGGGCCAAGCAGGGTGGGGAAAACCATGTGTGAGTTGGACTGGTGTGGGTTCCAAGCTGAGAAGTGTGAGGAGGTGTCCACACGGAGGACACGGCTCGGTGCTGAAGGGGTGGGGGTAACCCACAGTCTCTACAGGGTGAGGAGGGTACCCATGCTGTAAGAGGTAACAGTGGCTTTTTGATCAAATAAGTACACCAAAGATAGTGGCAATGAGGTTTCTTATTGTTGGAGGAGTTACAAATACAGAAAGGGAGAAAACTACAAAGAATCTTGCAGTGCTGGATTAGAATTGGAAGTGACAGGATCAACTCATGGTTTTCAATATCCATGGCCAGCTCAATATAAACAGCTCGTCCTGTCCTAAGAGGGTGTGCATGCTGCTCCCATAGCAATATGCATACCTAGATCTCAGATCGTTACCTCTTCCTTATTTTTTTTTTTCCTATTTTGTTTTAGAGATGGGGTCTCACTGTGTTGCTAAGGCTGGTCTCAAACTTTAAGCAATCCTCCTGCCTCAGCTGACACTCAGCCTAGATCTCTACTTGTAAATGCCATTTTTTCACTAAAAGACTCAGGACTTCTTGAGAGATGGCTGATTCCAGCCCCGGGGCAGGAAAAACACAAAAGTATCCTGGAATACCTTGTGGTACCAGAAAGCCAGGAAGTGATGAAGACATGTCAAAGGGATCAGAAGCCAGCTTGAAGGGACTCCCACTGGCCACATCAGAGTAAGTCTAAACATCAAATGGATTATAGCTCAGATAAAAGAGAAAACCATTAATCCATACAGATATAAATAAAGGAAGAAATCAAAATCTGAATGAACAGGAAATTTAAATCACTTCAAACGATCTTCCTCACAAATACCTATTAAGTATACAGTAAGTCCTCACTTAATGTCCTCAATAGGTTCTTGAAAACAGCAACTTTAAGCCACAGGATGTGCTACATGCCACAGGAACTTAACTCTTGTTTATATCAACTGGCCTATGGTAAAACTGGTTTTGTTATACAGTATATCATTTAGCTTAAAGTCACAGTTTCCAAGAATCTAGAACCTACAGAGGATGTTAAGTGGGGACTTACTGTAAATGGAAAAAGCGTAACTTTACAGATGAAAAGCCTGGCAGACACCTCCTTAATCAAGTGATTAAATGCATACCACCAGTAGTGGGACAAATGGAAGCTGTGTGCCAACTGGTAGATACAACGTGAAGAAGATAGCCTCACTTATCTGATACTCCTACCAAAATGCAGAACCTGTGTCTAATCATAAGGAAGCATCGACAAGCCCACATTGAGGGAATTCTACATAACAAATGGCCTGTAGTCTTCAAAATGTCAAGACATGAAAGTCAAGGAAAGATGGAGGAACTCCTCCAGGCTGAAGAAAATTAGAGAGATAAGATAGCTACATGTAATGGGGTAATCCTAAAACTGCATCCTTTTGTTATAGAGGATGCCACTGGGATCACTGGCAAAACTTGAATAGGGCCTGAGAATTAGATGGTTGTAATGTATCAGTGTTAATTTCCTGGTTTTGACAATTATACTATGGTTATGTAGGAGAATGTACTCGTGTATAAAAAACACATACTATAAGTATTTGGGGGTGATAAGGCTACGTGACAAGGCTTTCATTGTAAAAAAAAAAAAAAAGTTTTTTGTACTGTACTTGAAATTTCCCTGTAAGATTCAGAATGTTTAAAAAGTCACCTGATAAACTTATTATTGTATTCAGTTAGTTGCAAAAAAGGCAGGAAAAGAATCATTACATTTATCTACTGTATAACACAAAGGCTGTATAAGTCACACAGCTTCCCTGGGCTTCAACTTCCTCTATAAAACATGCGGATTGGATTGAATTATCTCTAAGGTTCTTCCTATTATTATTTTCTCTTTTGGGGAGGGTAGAAGAGGCAGGGATCTTCAATTTGCAGAAGACTGTTCTCATCTTTCTTTAAAAACATCTTTCTGTATGTCTACAGACAAAGACAACTTAACTCACAATCAGGGCTATAGGAAAAGCCTCACATTCCAACCACAGGACAAGGTCATACTTCATTTCACAACTCAGTCTCATTTTTTTTCCATTCTCTTACTCTCAGATTCAGTCAAAGGCTCTACCTAAATCTCCAAATCTCTGAAAATTCTCCTATTGAATTATACTAACACAGTTCCTAAGATTTATAAGTTCCTAAGATTTATAAGGTACTTTTAGCTATCCCAAAGACTTCTGTATAGGTTCTCATTTTATCTTCCCAACCAATGATGGCATGGTATTATCCTAACTTTACAGATGCGCAACATTTCTGGACAGAAATCAAAGACTTATTTAAGGTTGTACAATATCTAATAGGAACCAAAACCCAAATCTTCTGATTTCTAATTCTGTATTCTTTCTGCCAATCTCCGCGCTCCTGTTGATTGGCAGCAAGGTATATCTTTGAGTTTCTGGTATTGTCCAGAAAACACTCATGAGGTCCAGCACGTACCCAACTTCCTTATTTGGCATCTCCACTCAGTGAATAGACACTTAACATGTCCAAAACAGAACTCTTGATTTTACACATCAAGCCAGTTCCTTTGCAGTCATTCCACTTTTCCCTCAGTTATTCAACCCCCACATCTAGGCACCAGTCTTGGTTTCTTTCCTTTTACCCTCACATCTAGTACAAAGTATGCTAGACCATATACTACCCTCCCTCCCCTCTGCTAATTGTACATTTACTTGCCGTTTGAAAACTCTTGCCACCTAAGAGCTTTCTTATTTTAGAACTTGGTTCTGGGTTGGCTTGTCTCATGGAGTTCCTGAATATTAGCTGTCAACCTTCTCTTATTTCCTCTTTCTTTACTGATGGTTCTGAGCAGTCTTCTGAATACTTACAATTCTAATTTAGGGGTCATCCTAAATCTCTAAATTTTCATTAAAGGAAAAATAACATTATTTGCTAGCCTGGTCTGACTGGAGTTCTAGTGGGGGTAGGTAAAAAAACCTCTCAAAATCCCTTGAAAATCAAAGACTGGTTCTGTAAAAAGCAAGGAAAAGTAAAGATTTTGAGAAAAACAAAGCTCTACAGGGAAAACAGAACCACCAACACCAAACAATAAAAATTATCAAGACATATTTCTCATTATTTAACTCTTGGCTACTAAAATAAAGCTTATATCTATATGATATTGTTGACAGGCTGAAAATTCTGCTTGATGGCCTAGGTACTATATTAGCCAATCACAGCATGTGCCCACCGACAGGCACCTTTCAGAGCCAGTCAAGAGACTTCCTAGACAGTCTGTGGGAGTGTCCCATTTCAAGACTACAGGCATTCCATTGGACTGCACACAAGGGTTTACATCATAGCAGAGAGGCTGGAGCATGTCACTAACCACAGACATGGAGACTGGAAAGACCACAGAATCATCTTGGATGTATACCAGGGAATACAATGGGCTACAAAGGATCTCTTTGCCATATGTTTTCAGAATAAGAAATGAAAATGATATTGTAGTGCTCTAATAGTACAGTAATAGGACTTAAGGTCAAAAGTGTGTGGTGTGTGTGTGTGAGAGAGGGAGACAGAGAGAGCACGCACAAGAAAAACTGGGCAGAAATCACGCTCAAATTATTAATAAACAGTAACAGCCAGATTTGGACATGCCTGTGGTTAACACCTAAGGAATTAGGGGGCCCAGGTGACCTAGGGGATTCTTTCTCACTACTTCTTTACTGTCTATCAAAATTCAATTAACTCCTGATTTTTGTAGTAAAGAAAACACATAATTCTCAAATCACAACTACTTGATTTCAGAATATACACTTTGTAATACAGTTTTTTAAAAAGACATACTTATCTTTATATAATAAATTAAATACATAATTTAAGGTAATACTAAAATAAATTTGGCAAAGATCAACTAATGGCAGAAACTGGATAATGGCCTAGAAGTTGGATTGGAGGTGGAAACCATCCTTGAGTGAAAACTTTCCCATAAATAGTACCCATTTACATAATTAAGGCCTGACAGAGCAGGCAAATCCACAGTTATATGTAGTGTACTACAAGAGCTCCCCTATTTTGTGGTAGTTGCTACTTAAGGTGAAAGGGGAACTGATTTGCTGGAGCAATGCAGGAATCAGTGTGAGAAACAGAATGAGGAAAAAATCCAGAAGTACTTGGCTCAGGCTGCTGAAACCAACCCACTATACCAGGCCTCCCATTCTGTCACCAACATTGGTTTTCTGCCAATAGCTCCTAAATGACGTCTTCAAAGTTCTGCAGAAAGAGGAAAGGGATCACAACAGTGAGCAGAAAAGCAGCTAGTGTCCCGGCATATGTGGAAGCATTTGTCTTCCAATTAACTATTACTTTCTCTTCAAAGAAACTCCAGCTTTCAGTACCAGAAAAAGAAGTCCTATAGGCAAAACACATTCCAATCCTAGTATCAGGAGACAGTGTTCCATCTTACCAGATTTCCTACAGCCAAGACATGTTCAAATTGTGGCGTCATAGGATGGTGCTCCATTGCCATAAACAGTGTATTCAGGACGATGCAGATGGTGATGGCTAAATCCACAAAAGGGTCCATAACTATCAAGTTCACAATCTCTTTCAGTTTTATCCAGTAGGGGTGGCACTCCCAGATCAGGAAAGTGTTGGCAAATTTATACCAGCATGGCGGGCACTTTCTCTGAGACTCTTCCAGTTCTACAGTAAGTAAGAACAAAGATGGCCCCTCAATCACAGCGAGAAAACCAGGGGGACACACTAGTCACTCTCAGCCATTATCACTGTTATTAATATGGAATCAAGGTGGTCTGAGTGCTGACATTCCTAAGGATTTTCCTTCTCTCTAAGGTAGAGAGGAGGCATGATCCATACAAGTCACCTCTCTGTTAATAAAGATCTAGTTATAAATGAAACTCAACCCATCAGTTATGGGAGTAGAGCACAGAGGTCAAGAGCTTGGCCTCTCAGGTCTGACTCCCTGGCCTCAACTGGCTTGAATGCTTACAAGTTGTGTGATACCAGGCAAGGTAACTGACTTCTCTGCTCAGCTGCTTCAGCTGGAAAACAAGGCATCTACTTTACAGGTTACAGGAGTGAATGAGTCCTGTAACCTCATTTTTATGTGAGTTTGACTAAAGATTAAATGAGATGTTAGTGTAAAGCAGTCACCACAGTATCTGGCACAGGGTAAGTCCTCAATAAATGGTAGGTATTCTATTATACACTGTATTATTCAATTATTGTCAGAGAAGTCATCAAAAAGTATGAACTCAAGCCAGACATATTTGAGCTCAAATACTAGCTCAGACACTTGCTAACTGTGGGACCTTGAACAAGTTACTTTGATTTGCTGTGAGAATTAAAGAGCTAAAATATATACAAAGTGCCCCAGAATACCCTGGCAGATAGAAAGTGCCATGAAAATGTTTGCTATTATTATTATCTTCATCAGCAGAACCAGCATCAGCAACCAAGCCATCATGTAAAACACATCTGCTATGTTCTCATAAGAAGTACAAGTTACTGTCTCCACCCTCAACAAGGTTACAGCTCATAGTCAAGTTAGAAATACAAGTCACATTCCTCTCCCCTTTTCACCCTTCCTTCCTTGTTCTGTCTTTCCTGTCTCCTTTCTTGCGCCTTTGCCCTTTCCTGCTCTCATCCTTTGCTTTTCTCTTTCTACAGCTTCTTCCTCTTTCCCTCCCTGGGTCCTCATCTTTTTCCCTTTTTCTTTCTCTCCTTTGTCTTATCTTCTCTTGTCTCTTTTAGAAACAGAACATGTTATTTTCAAACAAGATCTCACATAATCCCCAATACATAAAATAAACCAGGAATTGCCTTAGATGAAGCAGGAGCCCACTCAGATAGACTTCTTCCTCTCCTGAGGCACTCCCCTAGAATCCCAGGACTCTGATACACACAGACTGAAAAATCACTGGACTAGATGATCTCAAAGGTCATTTCCAAAGCAAAGATTCAAAAGAATGATCAGATATCAAAGACAGACACTCAACTGGCAGTTACAACAATCTAGGTATGAAGCCTTACATAAGAAAGCTCTCCTCAAATTAAGCATGAAATACAACTGTCAGGATTACAAAATTCCAAGGACCCTGAGCTAAGAGGATGTTTTTTAAGAGGTGAACTTTGAAAACCTGTCAGAATGTGAGGTTCTACCGGGTTGGCTGTAACAGCTACTCTCTCCCTGCCCAATTCTGCTGACACTATCAAATCATTTAAGGAAAAAAAAAAAAAATTCCCTAACATTTCACCAAAACCAAGATGGCTGCCTTAAATTAGCCTACGTTCCCTTTTCCAACCAGCTGGATGGCAATGCTTTATTTTAGACAAGGTGGTTTTGGCTGAGTTTCTGATTGGCTCCCTGGTTGCTAAGAAAATGGTTGCCTTGGTTTTTCAGATTTAAGGACCCCTGTAAGCGCCACGTGGGAGGCTGCGTGGGAAAGGAAGTCTGTGAGGAAAATCTGCTGCGGCATCTTCCTCAGAGAACTCCCTCCCTTCCTAAGGTAAATATAGTTTTCACCCCCAAAAAAGAAAATGACAAGGTTCTCTTATTTCCATAAATTCTTACAGTACATATTTGGAAATTTAGTTCCGTTCCCTTTTTTATCTCCTCCCTTCTCCAAATGACTGCTGCTCATTGGCACGTGGAGGTTGAAGCTGCGACTGTTCACATTTATGACAGTTGACACAATTGTAATGTTTTAAAATGAACTAGGTCTTGAGTCTTGCCACACAGAAAAAGGGGTTTTCCTGCCCTACAGGGCACCAGGAAAATTCTTCGAGGGATACCAGACATCTCTTAGCCACGTTTACTGAGAAGGGAAGATCCTCAGGATAATCTTTCACTCCGACAAAAAGTAAGACAATGTGGAACTTCAGGAGCTAGAAAAGATCATTTGGGGAATAAGAAGGCTTATCAAGTGACTTATGACTTTGCAAACTGTTACGGGTTCCACATGCCTGGAATGGCCCAGTATTTGGCTTGGGGGAATGGGTTAACATTTAGGATCGAGATGTCCAAATGTTTGTGGGGTTTCTCTTACTTTGCTTTTGGACATTTTCAGTGAGGTTACTCTAGGTCTCAACCTCAGGGGTACTGGGAATTGTTTTCAGAGAGGACCTCACAATTTCACCAAGATAATGGCTTTGGTAGACCATGAAGTTTCTGAAGGCAGGAGCTTCTTTCAACTCAATTCAACAACTTTTAAGCACCTGCAATGTGCTAGGCACCGAGGATACACTGATGAAGAGCTCCCACCCTCACTAAGGTTACTGCCACACAGGAAAGGCTGATATCAGCCAAGTAACTATACTGACATTTGATGCTTGTCAGATGAATAAAGGAATACACAAATAGTGGCAGAAACAGCTATGGCCAGTTACCTCTAGGGGAGTTTTTGGAATTGTTTTACCTGAGAATCAATAATGTCAAGTACTTCCTTGATATTGCAAATCAATGTCAGGTACATCACTACCTCTTTCTTACTTCACCACGATCTCCCCTTCTCCCACAGCTTTACTGCTTTGAGGAGTGAGACTACACTACTCTACCTACACCCCACGCCCAGTCCTCTGAAATATCCCCAAAGCTTATAGCTCTGCTAGTGGTGAACTCTACTAAATGTACTGGATCCTGGTAAGCATGTTTGCAGTAGGATGGGGTGGGGCAGAACAGGCAGGGTTTTCTAATTATTGACAGGATTCTGGAATTCTCCACTGTGGTTTCTAAACTATTAGGTATGTCGTAGCCTGCCTCTTGGGTTTTAAATAATAATTATTTTAATCCTTGGATTAAAATAATGTCAAAGTTTCCTCACTGAAAGTCTGAGAGCAAGAACTACAATTCATTCAATGCTGGCTTTCAATGCTGTAGCAAGCATTAAATACAGAGGGGCCAATGGTTAAACAGGCATGGATGCTTCATTCCCTCTTACGTTATTCTGGTCAGCCATTCATCGATCTTTGCTTACAGCAGTTCTGTCCCATCAGCTTCAGCAAAAGGGTCAAATACAAGGGGAGAGGATAGGAGGAATGCCTGAGCAAGAAATGGCAGGACAGGTACAACTATGTGAACATCAGGACTTAGGAAAGAGGACAAAGAACTGGAATAACATCTTCCTACTCAGGAACACAGCTACATCTGTCTCTGTCTCCTGAGCTATCCTTACACCTTTTTTTTTTTTAATGTGTGTGATGGTGGGTAGAGGGTGGAGAATAAGCACAGCAGGACAGAAAGAGAAAGAACAGGGAGAAGAGGGAGAAAAGAGAATTTTAAAATCCCCGTATGGTTTGTATCCAACCCAGTAAAGGGATGAAAGCTCTAAGGCCTCCGAAAGGAGCCCTGCAGCACCAGCACTCCTACCATTTTAAGCACAGCCAACATCTGCTTCACAAATGTTGTTTGAGCATCCCCTTTTGCTGGGACCTGGGCTAAGCCACTGCAGTAATAAATAAATAACTAACTGTTGCATTGTATTGATAGTTCTGCTGTTCTGATGTCTCTGCCAATAATAAAGTGTAGCTGTTGGAGGCTGTTAGTTTTTCTCAGTTGCCACAGATACCCACAGAAATCCTGTCTTGGTCTCTATGTGAATAATAAAATTAGCCAAAGTTCTTAGGCTAGGATTTCTTAGCTTGGAATTCTTAGAACCTGTAGTTATTTGCCCACAATCTTAAAGTATAAGCTAGAAAGTTTGAAGATGTTCTATCAGATAATAACCTCGATGGTAATCAAAGAAAACAGGAATAAATAGAGGTTGTTAAGGCAGCTGAAAGCAGTTAATTCATTTTTTTTACTTGATACATTCTCAAGGTCAGTCTAGTTATAGTCTCATTCTTTGCACATATGTGGGGAAGTAAGCACCCTTAGAGAATTCTTTACTAGGGACTCTTCCTCCACTGCAAACCCCTCCCCAACACACGATACACACACACATATATACATACACACACAGTAGAAGTGGCACTGGGTTTAAATGACTGAAAAAACGCTTGTCTCAAGGATACCAGGACCATTTTGAGTTTTCCTGTCTCAGGGACTTTGGTTATTCTGGGCATCTGCATTCTGAAGAACAGCAATTTGAGGCCTCAAGAATAGTCTAGATCTACCATGAGACAACTCAGCTAAATCAGTATAAATCCAATGAAGAAGACAGGTACAGAATCCACCAGAATCTTGGGAGAGGAAATCTGTCTCTGAATTTACCTCTAATGAAAGCATGCAGATCCTGGACTACAGACCACAACTAGGGAGGAGCCGATTCTTGCTAGGGGGACTGTGGCCTAATGGAAAATCTTCAGGTATTCCTCAGCACACCAGGTTGTATCATAGAGAACCCACCTAATACAGAGAACTCAGGCACTGACAGCAACATTACTGCAGACGTGCTATGATTCAACAGTGGTTGCTCTTTCCCTGTGGCATGGAGCACTCAAAGAAAGAAGGGTTTCAACTTACCTAGTCACACATCAAATTTATTTATGGATATGTGGGGGTGTTTGAAGAGAGACAGAACTAGGTGCAATCAAAACGCACAGTACATTCTTCCTTAAGGGAAAACCAAAAGGGCTGTAAGTAGTTAAAAAGGAAAAAAGGAAGGTATGTTTAGGAGTACAGGCCATGAGGGAAATTCTATCATTTTATATCTTTGCAGTTCTTCAATCTACATTCCTTTATGCCTTACGGCACCCCACCGGCTCCTCATGATGACAATGACAGGGGTCTTGAGTTCCTCTAGGTCACTCATGCAGCTCCTTTCATATTTCTTACCTACCTGTGTTCAATGCTGACAGCGTATCTGAAGCCCATATATTTGATTCTCTGCATGTAAATTTCGGAAGAGAATTTGTGATTCTAGTTTCTATATAGGAATAGGCTCCATTCCTAAAGCTCAGAGACAGCCTTTGCAAAACTCAGACCAAGGGACAGGGATTATATTTACCATGCACATTACATATTTATATCTCAGCAGGTTGGACTGACATCATCGGGCACATACCTTCTACTAGTGTATTTGTAACAACACTCATTATGCTGTTGATTCTGTCCTTCCGCCCATAGGAGGCTAATTGGTCCATGGAAACTAAGAGAGATCCAGGGCCTTTCTTCTTAATTTCCACCTCAGTTGTAGCCTACAAAAAGAAAGAAAAAAAAAAAAAAAAAAAAGCAAATAGAGTGAGTTAAGTCTATAACAGTAAATCTGGGCCTTACTTGATAGACAGTCCAGTGTGTGATCTTCATTACAGTCTTTAACTTTGATCCTGCAGTCCTATTCACTTCAAGAAATAGAATGAAACGAACTGGCCATGGTTCATTCTTATTTGGATGATAAGACCAAGTCATTTAAGTCTGTGTGAATCTACAATGACCCCAAGAATCTGGCTGGGACCCAAACATCTCACCTGGTTCATTCCAAGCATAGAGTAGAAAGACCAGATCCTCCTGGGGTACTGCCATCAGAAGTAGACCCTGAGTTTTCTGGTCCTAATCTCAAATCCACGATATTTGGCTAGAATTGGTCCACATGATAAAGTCAGTCAAATTTACTTCTATTTGAAATCTCATTAAGGTCAAGTCCCTGATCACACTAAGTATTATAGATGCTGTTTCCTCCTTGAGTAGGAGCACCATTATTCTAATAAACTGCCTCTTCCAAATACCAAATCTGGGCCTAACTGAACATTAGCAAGTTGAAGATCTGCTCCGGATCTCCTACAAGCCATTTTAAGAAAGTACAGAAAGGTTTTGCTATCTTAATTAAATATATTGTATCCTATGTTTATCTTGCCCTTTCAGTTTTATGAGCTAACCTGCAACGTTCAAATTCCCAATAAAAAATGGCAGAAAATATAATCAGATTGTTATAAAAAATATTATTACATGCTCCACCCTGGGCAATAACTGGTATGGTAGATTACAGCAAAGGGTTTCTTAATGTCCCTGACTTATGTTCTTGTGACTATTCCACATCAGTTCAGGCTTAATGGGGTGGCTTAAAACCTAGCTCTTTAGTAACCATGTTGTTCACAGTACCATATCACCCACGTAGACTTGGCTCTTCCTTCTAAGATGGTGAAGGTAAGAGGACAGAGACAATCACCAGCCCTCAGAGGACAGGGGAGATTGTCTGAGACTGGAGAAGCACATGTCTGGTCAATAAGAGAATGATCCTAGCTGTTTTAAAAAGAAAAGAATTACCTCTGGAGAGCTACATCAGAAAGCCCATCTGTTCTAAACATCTTCAGATTTTAAGGACTGAACAGAAGAAAGTTCCTGGCAGATTATGATTTATCTTATTAAAGTGTTTCATTAGCCTGCGGTCCCAGCTACTCAGGTGGTGGAGGCAGCAGGATTACATGAGCCCAGGAGTTAGAGACCATCCTGGGCAACACAGAGAGACCTCATCTTAAAAAAAAAAAAAAAAAAAAAAAAGCGTGTTTCATCAGACCATTTCACTGATTCAGATTTGGATCAGTGATCTCGGGGTCTTGTTTGTTTCATTTGTTTGGCAAAGCTACAGAAGAAGTGCAAGCAAAAATTAACCAATTTCCCTGGGAATTCCTTGCTGCATTACTATACTAACATTTGTGTATGTAAGAATGACTTGTGGTGGTTGCCACAGGAAGAGGCTTCCTGCCTGTGGAAAAAGGAGGGAAGAGCAGGAAGGACTTTGTAATGTGGTTTGAGTGCCAGCATAGCTGCAGAACAGAACATCAGGCAAATCTCTAAGGTTTTTTGTTTTTGTTTTTTGAGAGAGTCTGCTATGTCACTTAGGCTGGAGTGCAGTGGCATGATCTCGGCTTACCGCACCTCTGTCTCTGAGGTTCAAGCAATTCTCCCACCTCAGCCTCCTGAATAGCTGGGATTACAGGCATACACAAGCACACTTGGCTAATTTTTGTATTTTTAAGTAAAGACAGGGTTTTGCCATGTTGTCCAGGCTGGTCTGGAACTCCTGGCCTCAAGTGATCCTCCCACCTCAGCCTTCCAAAGTGCTGGGATTATAGACGTGAGCAACCACGCCCAGCTAAAATTTAATTTTATTTAAACAAATACTTATTGTGTGCTAAGTGGTGTGGATAGAGTGGTGAACAAGACATACAACATGGTCCCTGTCCTCTTGACAGGTTTAGCCATGTTGGCCAGGCTGGTATCAAACTCCTGGCCTCAGGTGATACACCCATGTTGGCTTCTCAAAGTGCTAAGAAATCTCTAAGGCTTTTAGCTCCAATCCCTGGCTTCCAGACAACATGTCTGGACCCACCTGGGACCTGGGGGAACTTGCTGCCCTGAAGGGGAGGACACAAATCTGGCTGGCTTCACCACCTGCTGACTGTAGAGCCCTAGGGCCTTGGGTGAACATAGGCGGCAGCCATGTAGTGGTCACAGCAGGCCTTGGGCAAGACCTTGTGCTGTGCTGGCAGCAGTCCCAGTAGTAATGGCCAGAGGGGTGCTTACATCAACACACTCCAGTTCAAGGTGGCTCAGCACAGAGAAAGAGACTTCATTTGTTTGGGAGAAAGTAAGGGAAAAGAACAAATCTTTGCCTCGTAATCCAGAGAATTCTTCCAGATCTTTATTATCCCAGACCACCAAGGTGGCACTTTTATTAATCCGCAAAAACCACAGCATTATTGGACTTGGGGCTCAAATTCCTTCGAATACCTACCTGGAAAGCCTTCTTAAGAAGGACATGCACAAGTAAGCCCAGATTGCAAAGACTATAATAAATACCTAGCTTGTCAATGCCCAAACACCAACAAACATCTACAAGCATCAAGATCATACAGGAAAACATGGCCTCACCAAAAGAACTAAATAAGGTACCAGGGACCAGTCCTGGAGAAACAGAGATATGTCATCTTTCAGACAGGGAATTCAAAAGAGCTATGTTGAGGAAACTCAAGGAAATTCAAGATAACACAGAGAAGGAATTCAGCATTCTATCAGATAAATTTAACAGAGAGACTGAAATAATTAAAAACAAGCAGAAACTCTACAGTTGGAAAATGCAACTGAATACTAAAGAATGCATCAGAGTCTCTTAATAACAGAATTGATCAGACAGAAGAAAGAATTAATGAGCTTGAAGACAGGCTATTTGAAAATACTCAGAGAAGACAAAAGACAAAAAAAAAAAAAAAAAAAAAAAAAAAAAGAATAAAGCACACCTGCAAGATCTAGCAAATAGCCTCAAAGGGAAAAATCTAAGAGTTACTGGTCTTAAAGAGGATGTAGAGAAAGAGATAAGGATAGAAAGTTTATTCAAAGGAATAATAACAGAAAACTTGCCAAACCTAGAGAAAGATATAAACATTCAAGTACAAGAAGATTATAGAACACTAAGCAGATTTAACCAAAAGAAGACTACCTCAAGGCATCTAACAACAAAATTCCCAAAGGTCAAGGATAAAGAAAGGATCCTAAAAGCAGCAAGAGAAAAGAAAAACAAAAAGCATACAATGGAGCTCCAATAAATATAGCAGCAGGCCTTTCAGTGAAAACCTTACAGGCTAGGAGAAAGTGGTAATGATGTATTTAAAGTGCTGAGGGAAAGAAACTTTTACCCTAGAACACTATATCCAGTAAAAATATCCTTCAAGCGTGAAGAAGAAATAAAGACCTTCCCAGACAAACAAAAGCCGAGAGATTTCATCAATACCAGACTTGTCCTACAGGAACTGCTAAAAGGAGTTCTTCCATCTGAAAGAAGAGAGGATGTTAATGGCAAGAAGAAATCATCTGAAGATACAAAACTCACTGGTAATAGTAGGCATACAGAAAAACACAGAATATTGTAAAACTATAATTGTGGCATGTAAATTCCCAATTACACTGTTATGATAAGTCAATATAAATAATAACTACAGCAACTTTTAAAGACAGACAGTACAATAAGACAAAGAGAAACAACAAAAAGTTAAAAAGCAGAGGGATGAAGTTAAAGTGTACAGTTTTTATTAGTTTTCTTTTTGCATGTTTGTTTATGCAATCAGTGTTAAGTTGTCATCAGTTTAAAACAATGGGTTATGCCAGGCGCAGTGGCTCACGCCTGTAATCCCAGCACTCTGGGAGGCCGAGGTGGGCAGATCACCTGAAGTCAGAAGTTTGAGACCAGTCTGACCAACATGGAGAAAGCCCATCTCTACTAAAAATACAAAATTAGACAGGCATGGTGGCACATGCCTGTAATCCCAGCTACTTGGGAGGCTGAGGCAGGAGAATCACTTAGGAAGCAGAGGTTGCAGTAAGCCAAGATCACACCATTGCACTCCAGCCTGGGCAACAAGAATGAAACTCCGTCTCAAAAAATAAATAAAATAAAATAAAATAAAATAAAATAATGGGTTATAAGACATTAATAATATTTGCAAGCCTCATGGTAGCCTCAAATTGAAAAACACACAACAGATACACAAAAAATAAAAAGGAAGAAATTAAGTCATACCACCAGAGAAAATAACCTTCACTAAAGGGAAGACAAGGAAGGAAGGGAAAAAGTAAAAGAAGACCACAAAACAACCAGAAAACAAATGACAAAATGGCAGGAGTAAGTCCCAACTAATCAATAATAACATTGAATGTAAATAAACTAAACTCTCCAATAAAAAGACACGGAGTGGCTAAATGCATGGAAAAAAAAGACCTAATGATCTGTTACCTACAAGAAACACACTTCACCTATAAAGATACACAGACTGAGAATAAACGGATGGAAAAAGATATTCCATGCCAATGGAAACCAAAAAAGAGCAGAAGTAGTAGCTATGCTTACATTAGAAAAAATAGATTTTAAGACAAAAATTATAAGAAGAGTTAGAGATCGCTATTACATAATGATAAAGGGGTCAGTCTAGCAAAAGGATATAATGATTATAAATATACATGCACCCAACACTGGAACACCCAAATATGTAAAGCAAATATTATTATAGCTAAAGAGACAGACCTCAGGCTAGGCACAATAGCTCATGCCTAGAATCCCAGCACTTTGGGAGGTCCAGGTGGGTGGGTTTCTGGAACCCAGGAGTTTGAGACCAGCCTGGGAAACATGGCAAAATCCTGTCTCTACAAAAAAATACAAAAATTAGCCAGGCATGGTGGTGTATGCCTGTAGTCCCAGCTAATCAGA